AATGGTTTTTTTTTTCTAAAACCATTTGGAACAGACACTATTTACTATAGAAAAATTTTAAATATTTTTTTCAGTTCTTTCATATTGAATTCAAAATCATTGGTCAAATAAAGAGATAAAGTTGTACATGAAATATTCAGTAATAGTGATAAATACATTAGTTGTAATTACTACCTTTATTACAATATATCTTATTGAATATTGCAATAATGATAAATATATTTGAGGAATATATTTTTAAAAATTATTGAAATTTATAAATATTGTTTTATTTTTAGCTAATGAAATTAAACTTTGAACTTCAAATCCCTCTTGTGTATGCATACTTTTACCAGTATCTATACCACTTGTCAAAGTAATCATGAAAGCCATTTTTTGTGATGTCTTTTTGAAGTTCAAAGTTTAATTTCATTAGATTAACCATTATATTATATTAACCATTACATAATAGTCCTAAAATAATCTAATGTTACCAGTTAACATTGAGGAAGGACAAAACATTATTTTTTGCACTTTATTTGTGCATTTATAAAAAAGAAAATACAGCATACATTTGTGTATATGGAACAAAATCATTTACAATTTAAAAGTTTACATACAATTATCAAGTGCATTTATTGAAATATCATTAAAAATTTTACTCTAAAAATATAGAGTCAAAACTAAACCGAAAATCTTAAATATAAAGCATGCTGCCTTCAAAATAAATCCCTCTTGCATATGCATACTTTTACTAGCATCTACACCACTTGTCAAAGTAATCATGAAAGCCATTTTTTGTGATGTCTTTAATGATTTATTGCTATAGCTTCAACTCTGCTTTTTATTGGAATTTGGATCCCTTCCTTCAACTTCTTGCTTTAGGGAACAAGATTAAGAGAATGAGGAGATTGGGAAAGCATTGTCATGCCTTTCTTGGTCAAATATTTGTAAATGTTGAATATCTCAATGACTAGAGCCCTAAAAGGCATCATAAAAAATGACTTCTAGAGGTCTGTAGCTACAGAAGGTATTTATTTTGAAAATGATCTGTAAATACTTATATTGTTGACATCATAAAAGTTTGGTTTATTTTTGATTCTACTAAGTATCTTCAATTGGTAGGTTTTGTCATACAAACAAAATCACAATAATTTACACACATTTAATATCTTGTTTTTGAGACTTCAAAATATTCTTCTATTTTATTTATTTTAATTGTTTTCTTTCAACAGAAAAAAATTGTTTTTAACTAATTTACTAGTATAATTTCTGGAATTTTGATCAAATAATAATAAATTGTAATGTTGACAGTTTAGGATTTTAGTATATATCAATGCTATTCACAATGATAGTCTGTGGACTGGTGACATCAGTGGACTACAGATTCCAGAAATATCTGTTACATAAGAATGTTATACTAATTTCTTTGGCTTTTTTTATTTTATTACTGATGTCATTCCTCTCTTTTTCTTTTCTACTATACTATTATATTCACCAAGAAAATATTTGAACTATATTATCATTTTACTTTTATAAGATATTGATTTTGACTTATTGGAACCTCACAGTTTGAGAAACACATTACAAGTATATAGGGTGATTTTAGAACATCTGGCACAACAGATCTTGCAGAGAGGAACATTTTATGAGCAGTAACTAACATTCCCTGATGCATCATTGAGCAATGTGATTTGTCAAGAGAGCAGGCTAGTTGTTGAGAGGCAGGCATAGTCAACTGACTTAACATTCTTTAATTTCTTTCCTTAGGGACATGGTAAGAGTGTTCTGTGCACCACCCTGTTTGACAACAGAGAAGAACTGATGGTCAAAAGCAGTGTGTATTTGTACAAACTTCACAGAGACCTCACATAATCAATGGTGTTGCAAATGTATCAAAGTTCAAAGTGGACACTTCAAACACCTTCTGTGAATTGTTTGCAAGTGTACTTGTAATAACAATGCATATTACAAGTAATTAATGTATTATCTGTCATACATGACCTGACTGCATGATCACACAGCTCCTAAATGATACATCATGAAAAATGAATTGTTGCACATAAAATGTTACTCTCTAAGAGATCTGTTGTGCCTGAGAGCTCCCTAGTCATTCTTTATATAACACAGTTATATATATAACTATAGTGTGTGCGTGTGTAGGGGTTAGATGAATCAAATTTCCAAACTATTAAGAAAATAAACGATAAGTTGTGGAGAAGACTAAAGAGACTAGTAGAAGGAGTCAATTAAAGCCAGACAATGCTTGAAAAAGGCACGAAAAAAGACTGAAGATGGTTATGGACACTAGAACATTATTGTCCTATCCAGAGACTGAAGACAGTTATGAACACTGGAATATTATTGTCATTTCTATTACTATTCCTACAAATTTTGAGGGCTTGTCTGGGATCTTGAATGAAATTCATACAAGAACTTTTAGAAGGGCAATAACAATCCAGATAAGATGGCAGAGTTAGTGACGAGTTAGTGACACTACAGTGAATGACGAAAAACTACAACTGACTGATTTATCTAAGGATAATACGATGTGACGGATGTGAAACATCTTAAGTGTGCTGATCTGAAAATCAAACTAAGATGATGAAAATTAAAAACAAAGTGTAGCAAGAGAGAGTTGGTGGAAAGATTAGAAGTGGCACTTTTGGTCAAATATGCCAGAGACAACAATGTACAAAGTGACGATGATTCTGACAAAAGTCAGGATGAATATAGTAATATTATGAGACATAAAAGTGAGTACTCTTAAGACAATGTTTACCTTTAGAGATGTTGATGAATCCCTTGAAACATTCAGTGGTGACAATGGGAAAATATAGTTAAGTGGATCTCCAATTTCAAAGACATGGCAGAAATGTGTAACTGGAATGGCATGCAGAAGATAGTTTATGCAAAACGACTACTCAGAGATTCAGTAAGAATGTACATAAACTATGAACAATGTACTAAATCATGGAGAGCATTAAAAGCTCTTTGTGCCATATTTTCTCCAAACTGAACAACAAGAAGATTCACAAGCAACTTTCAAAGGAAGTGAAGCATCAGAGTGAAACTTATCAGGAATATATGTATCAGATGATTGAAATTTTGTCACAAATCATGATTGAGGAAGAATCAGCGATACAATACATCATCGATGGAATTCAAGATGAGCAAGTAAGTAAAACAATGTTTTACAGTGCTATGGACTTTCAAAGAATTTTGTCAAAAGCTGCAAGTTTACAAAGACATAAAATCAAGTCATAAGCAAATTGCTAAAATGATGGTGAGATTCAAGAAGCTAGGACATGAGATTAAGCATAATAATTCTTATGGAGATGAAAAATGTTGCTATAACTGTGACAGGAAAAACAATGGAATGAAATGTTTTAGCTGTAACAATTTTGACCATACTGTATTTCATCTCAATGTCCTCAAAATGTTGAGAAGTTATGAAGTAAAGGAAGAAGAATTTAAGTCAAACCTGTGAAAGAAGTCAAAATAGGGGAAGTGAGCTTCGCAGCACTATAAATTCAGGAAGTGATATAAATTTGATGAGAGCCAATGATTACATAAAGATGGGCACATCAAAGTTAACTGAAAATTCATTACAATTTCATGGAGTAAGTGGGCAAAAGAGTTCTACACTGGAAAGTTTTTGGACTATAGTAAATGTGGAGTGTAGTAAGTAATGGAGACCAATTTTCAATCCCCATACACGTGGTTCCTAGTTTATTCTTTGCTTATCACTTATTGTTGAGAACAGACTTTCTGAAACAAGTTCGTATCAGTTTAAAAGAAGGTTGTTTTGAGAAAACTACCAAAGCAAATATTGAAAGCATTCAAGTAATTGTAAATGAAAAACCTGAAGTGTCACTTTCCAAGAAAAAAAAAAGAGATTGAAAGTGATAATTTAGAAGCTGTAGTAAAAATCCAAGAAGGAATTCATGGTTACTTAACTAGAAAAACACTGAAAGAATAGAAAGATAATGTATCATCAAACAAAAATCTGGGTACTGAAGAATTACATAAAGATGATTCAAGTAAAATTGAAATTAGCAAAGAAGAGAAACCAAATAAAATGTCTGGAAAAGAAATATTACATTCACCCACTACACAAGAAATTTCTGATGATTTAAATGAAGATGATGTAATGTTGATTAAAGAAAACAACGATAGTATCATAGCTAGGCTCAAAAATGTACAAAAGGAAGATAGTGAATTAATTGAGATAATTAACAATATAGATATGGAAAAGGCAAATGGTTATGAAGTAAAAAGCGGGATTCTGTACAAGGAAATGGATGGGAAGTTGTTAATAGTGGTTCCCACAAATGCAAGCCGATATTATCAGAGAAGTGCACATCCAAGGTCACTTTGCCATTAAGAAAACCAAAGCACTACTGAAAAGAGACTATTGGTTCAAGAATATGAAGAGTAAAATCAAAAAGATCATAAGAAATTCCATAAATTGTATCATAGCAGAAAGGAAAAGAGGAAAACCAGAAGGATTTTTGAATCCAATTGACAAAGGTCATCGACCTTTTGATACTTATCACATTGATCATCTGGGCCATTTAACACTTACTAGGAATCATTATCAGTACGTGTTTGCAGTTACAGATGCCTTTACAAGTTTCTGTGACTCTTTCTCTGCTCCTGTTGATTTAGTGGGATAGTTATAAGTCAATTGAAAAAACTGGTGGTTGTATTTGGTAACCCTAAGTGAATTGTGTCTGACCGTGGATTGGCATTTACATCAAATGTCTTTAAGTATTATTGCAAGCAAGAAAACATTGAGCATGTTCAAATTATTACCGGTGTTCCAAGAGCTAATGGACAGGTGGAGAGAATGCATCATCATCTCATTGCTTACTAAATTGTCTATATAAAAGCCTAAAGAATGATATAAGCATGTTGATCTGGCAATGAAATACATCAATTCCTTGTATAACAAAAGTATTGATATGTCTGCTTTCGAGTTGTTCTTTGGTATCAAAATGCACTTGAAGGAAGACCTCAAACTACAAGAACTGATCGAGAACGAAAAAATTCTGTCCTTTGACAAAGAAAGGGATGAAATTAGAGCAAAGGCAAAAGAGAACTTAAGAAACTGCAAGCTTGAGAACAGGAAAACTTTTTTTGTTTTTTGCCACCAAATTCAATGATCTTGTAGCTATAAGGAGAATGCAGTACAAGCCCAGCTTAAAAATCCATCAAAAGTTCTTAGAACTTTTATGATTTTATAAACCCCTAAGAAATGACAGACATTTAGTTGAGATTGGTGATCATGAAGGGCCAACCAATTCAGACATCTACTTCTGCAGACAATATGAAAGCATGGGTCAGTTCAACTAACAAAGATTTTGATCGGTCAGATGATGACATCAGAGACAATGTCAGTTGTCAGGATGGCCGAAAGTGGGGATTAGATGAGTCAAATTCCAAACTACATATAGAAATTTTATTAAACATATAGAAATTGCTATTAAATTAAATATTATGGTTCTAAACAGACATTAAAAATATTTTTTACCGATTTGTCCAAAAATAACATGATAAAACTAGCATTAATCACATATCAAAATTTTTGTGTGCGCATAATTAATCATAAAAACAAAGTGAACATATCTTTTGCAGTAAGATGGTGACTTTATACAATGTATATTCTCTATCAGTTTTTATTTGTAAATTTGAAACAAGTTGTTTTAAGCATAACTGATATTCTAACTTTTTCAAAAGTTTTGATATGATGTTATGGTTAAAATAATTAGCATTTGTTCAATCTCTAAAACTTTGAGATGGTTGTTAATGAATTTGGCATCATTTATCACATTAGACTTCAAAAAGTTTTTTAGATATTCTATATAAAGATAATAATAATATCAATTGGCATGTTTTTGTGTGTTGAGCAGTTTTCATTTAAGCAAAACAATTTCTTTTATAGTGTTTTTATGTCCTCCCATCAAAAAAACTAACAGATTGTTATTAATGTCATTTGCTTCCAGAAACAACATAAAATAAAGCAGAATAACCAGTATTTGGTTGACTATAGAAAAACATGCCTGAAATCTGATGTATTTGTGGAATGTATGGTAACATTGGATCTCTTTTGTCTCTTTGGTTGTAAAAATACAAAAACACTTTTACATTTAAACAATTTGAAATACATTTTCAACTGCCAATTTTATAAAAAATTAATATGTAGTTTATTGATGACCTTTAATTGTAATTTATAAAATATGACATAATTTATTTATAGAGAATTTAGAACTCTTTGCAAAATAATTTTTTAAACTGTTGAAACTTCCGGCATCACTTTCTTCTTTGCTGTCAGTAACTTTGTATATGACAGAAAATCTTGAAGCTTCCTTTTTGGATCTGAAATATTTAAAATTGGGATGTAGTTTAACTTAAGAAATTTGGTGTATATTTATAATTCCACTATCAGTAACCTAATCAAAAATAACAGATTTATAGCTCAAATATAAAAAAATTAAACAATATTTGGATAATAGGGTTATGGTTAACACATTTCCTTATATCTGAATTTGAATATTGGGAATTCAGATGTTTTTCCATTATTTTTTGGGAAAAATTCTAACTCGTACTTGGTCCATCCGAATAACCCCAACTAATTTCTCCAAATGACACTAAAATAATGCAATAAAAAGCTTACTTAGCTATCAACCCATGATTTTAGGATTAAATTAAACATTACAAATTCCAATTAAATGCACAATAAAAAATAAGAGCAGTAATGTAACAAATCACAGGAGTTCAGATTTTGTGGTTATGGTGGTCATGATGTTGGAAATGATTGGCTAATCAGTCTCTTTTTTTTTAAATTGATACATTCTCAAGTTTCAGCTTAAATGCACAAGCCTTACTGCAACATCTTGTATAAAAATTATGGTGTTCAGGCTGCAGTTTTGGAGCATAATTCCTTCCCTCCTGGCATTAACAGAACATGTATGTTACTGGCCCAGAAGAGTTTTCTTCATTTATTATTGATCCCTTTTTTTTTTTTTTTTGATGCTGTGAAACCACACCACATTGTTACCTTTGGTGAGTGCAATGGAATTTGTTGATTATTTGATATAACAAAAATCTACAAGTTCAACAGTTGTGCATGTTTGCATCACCACAGATGGCTTTCCACTGTCAATTGCCATGATATTGTACAACCACTACTGTTGCCATGAGAATTTTCCATTCTATGCTCCATTATGGTGGTAGGAACATTTTCAGTTTTCAAATTGGGGTGAGACCTGTCCGGCTTTTGTAGGAAAAGTTCCAACCTCCTCAAAACAAAATCAATTTCTAAGATTCCCAATAATAACAGGATCTTATGAGATCCTGTTATTATTAAACTTTTAAACATCAAGCTCAAATTGCATTTTGTTGAAAGTTTGACAAGAAATGAACAATTGAGTAAAATGAGCATAATGACCATTCGTCTGTCAAAGAATTGTGAAGAACATGTTCTAACTCCTTTTATACTCAAAATTTGTTAGAAACCTTACATAATATGCAGATTAAAGAAGATGACATTGCTAAATTTCACCCTAACAGCCAAATTCTGAAGTAAAATTTTTTTCCAAAAATTGAAACTTTATAGCATTTAAACCAAATTTAGTTGAGATTTGTCCAATAGTTCTTTCTATAGAGAGCTGCAGACACCTACTCTTTAATTACAATCATCCTGTGTTAATTGGTAAAATCTGTTATTATTATAAAACTAACATGTGATATTAAAATAAAACAAATGTTAGATTTGGTAAATAATCCATATTTGTTATGTACTTACTGATTATCAGTTTGATTACTTTTTCTGGAGAGATTCCAAACAATAAGCTCTTTCCCACCAGTAACAAGACATATATCATCTTCAGACAATCGATTAAAGGAAATATATTTAATTAAAGAAGTTTCTCCAACAAGAGAACAGTTATATTCACAGTTGGGTAACAAATAAACTAAACAGAAAAGTATTTTCTATATAAGTTGTTATAAAGATTTGTAAACATTATTGATAAAAACTTAATTATAATATTTACCATCAATGCATCCAGTATTAATTTTATAATTATACTTAGAGAATAGAATATTATCTTCAGCAACGCACATTGTGTTTATTTGGTAATTCTCATTAAAATATCCTTCAGAATTAAATGACTTTTTAAAAATTTCTAATTTATCTGAAAAAATATATATTAATAAATTATTAGAATACTTTTTGAAATGTTTGTTGTTGTATTTGTCTGTAAACTATTGCTTACTTGTAGCCAGATCCAATATAAATATATCCCAATCATTATTTGCTAAATATAATTTATCATTGCATAGGCTGAAACACATCCAATTTTCAACCTGATTGTTGTTTTCTATATTTTGGGTAAAATCTTCTAACTTTTGTTCAGAATAATGCCAAACTTTAAATATTCCATTGGATAAACTAAATACCTTCTGATTGGAAAACTAGAGGAGAATATCAAATTAATGCTTGAGGAGAAATTCAAAAATTACAAAAAATATACCTCACCAATAATGATAAAATTCCATCTGTGTAAGCTTGAACTGAAAATACATTTGTTTCTTCTAATACATTCCATATTTCAATTTTTCCACTCTCTGGCAATTAAAAATATTATAAATTATAATCTTAAAAGTTTTCAATCCAAAGTATTATTAAATTAACTTTATCACAATAATAAATAAACATTAAATACAGTCGACCCTCCTATAACACGATAGATACATTCCAGTTTTTATGAAATTCATTTTCTACAAGTCCTTAAATACATGAGCCAATCACAGCCCAGCACATATGTAGTTTACAGACTATGGCTGTTTGAAAGGTTTTCTTCCATAAAATTAATCGATTCTAGACTAATTCGACTCAACATTTCCAAAATACGTATAATTTTTTGGGAATAATCCATATAAACTATGCTATAAACAAAAAATTGTAGGATTACTTACTGAGTGTGTACCATTCTACGATGCCATTGCTTAAGCTTGTTTTCGTTGTGGAGTGGTGCATCAAATGGCACTCACGTGCTTCCTGATAAATTATTTTTCTGCGAAAACTTTGATGAACTTTGGAGACATCATTAATATAAATATAATTTTTATGGCCGTTAAATAATAAATGGTTTTTAGTAGGTCCGCTGCTTGTTTAAAGTCAACGGTTTGTGCAATATCCACTATTGGTCTAGATTCAACCAATCCTGTCGCGACACAAGTCGGTGATGACATTTTACCGAATTATACAAGTCTCTTTTAGTGTGTTTATATGAATACGGTCGCAATTTTTTCGCCGTGATATAGGAATCTGAACTATATGAACCCGTTTTATAGGGGGGTCTACTGTAATTACATAATTGTATTATTTAAAGTAATAAAATTTTCCATAGCATTTATTCAAATTGCTAATAAAGTTCACACACTAAAAATAGAAGATAATTCAAGGAATGATTTTTGTAAAAAGAAGTAGTGATTGTACTTGTTCTTTTATCATTTTAGATAAGTTACAGCTTGTAATTAAATAAAAGAAACCAAAACTTTTGTTATGGTTAATTCAAATAAATTGGAAATAAAGAATGCTAATAAAGAATACATTAGTAAATTATTTTTCTATTATGATAAAACTATTATAACTGAAATCATCAAATTATACCTGTTCCAATTAATACATTAAAATCTTCCAAAGCAGATAAACAAGTGATGCCATTAAATACATATATTGATTTTATCTCTTTACCTGTCAAAATTAAAAACAAAGTAATGTAAATTTTTGTTAAATATTTAAATGAAAACATTAAGTATATTATATTTTATTTCATATAAAATTTTAATATTACATATATTATTTGAAACTTTTTTTTTTACATAAATAAATAGATTGTAACACAGACATAAATGTAACACATACATTATGTATTATTTTTAAACTTGTTTAAATCACATTCAAAATATAAAGAATGTGTATCAATCCAACTAACACCAAAAGTTAATAAAAATAATTTTTAATTATTTAATTCTAAATAGCATATGAATTACATTAAAATTTATAATCAAACCTTGGTTTATGAACATAATTTGTTCCTAAAAGTTGTTCAAAAACCAAAACAAATTTTCCCATAAGAAACAATATAAAATGAATTAATCTGTTCCTGACCCCCAAAACAAAGCTTTCTTTTTTACCAGTATAGCTATATTTTATGTATAAAAATGCCTACAAATGCAATGTGATATTATATTAATAAATATTAAATATTAATATTGTAATATATAAGCAATTATTTATTGTAACGTTGTCACAATATCGGGCTGCAATTTTTAATCATATTTTTTATTCATTTAACTTATAATATATCCTTTCCTCCTCAAATTAGTAGTGGCTTGCCTCTATACATCATACTTTTCCTTTAACAATACTTCTGCCAGTCATCTATCTAACACCTTTCAGGGGAAAATTTTTGAACTGAAATTACATGACTTTTGCATTAGAAGTTCATTTATAATTAATCATGGCTTCCTACCACATATCTGGTCTCATCTTTCATCTATCTAACTCTGTTCTTGAAATTAGGGAAGACAGATGAATAAATGAACGTTAACAGGAATTTATATGTCTACAATTTTTTCAAATTGCATTCCAATAATATTATATTAATAAAGTTTTGTTATTTAATTTAACTTAAATATATATTATCACCAATTCTTGGATGCCATTTATATTATGTAAATGTCAATTAATACAGTTTTTATTAATGAAGTCAATTTAAATTCAACTGTGGTACGTACTGAAAAACAGAAGTAATATCTTTCCCACATGTGCATCAAAATCTAATTTAAATAGCAATGTCATCAGTGATTTGTGTTGTGACATCTAATGGCAAGAGGTGATCTCAGCATCACTAACTTCTGAATCAGTAGTCTTGTTATTGATTAGTTGGGCCAGTGACTTTCTTTAACATAGGAAGTATAGGGAGTTTATTGTCTATCTCTCTAATCTGTGGCCAGCTCTTGCTGAGTAGCTTGTTCAGGAACCAATGCAATTATGAGTTCAAAATTCTGTTCAGGAACTAAACTGTTTGAAAACTGAGGTTTGACTGTATTTAAAATAATTTAAATTATTGAGAATATTTTTAAATTTGCAGATACAGTAATACCTTGACTTACACTACCCCGACTTACGCGAACACGGAGTTACGTGATTTTCAAATCTCGTTGATTCGTCTTTTGTTTAAGCGCCAAGCAATTCTCGATTACTCAATCTCCCCACACTATTGTTTGGCTTACATGTTCAGACGTGTTGCGCAGAATCGACACATAGCCACAATTTATTTTGTGTTATTTATTTCTGTGTTTGTTATATCTACGGAGACTCGAAAGACTCTATGTGGTGATTTCTTGTTACTGTGAACGAATCAAAAGACGAGATAAGATTAACGAGAACATTTATTAGCTTACATACATCCGACTTGGGTTTTACACAAATTGTGAAATTATACCGACTTACGCGAATTCAACTTACGTGGTTATTGCTCGGTCCCACCTATCGTGTAAGTTTGGGGTATCACTGTGTAAAAAGACTTAATGCTCTCCCTCTCCTCCCCACTGGGGAATTCCGACAAATCCCTTCTTAGTGTGCATTCTCATGGCGTATCCTAGTAAAATGCAGTTAGAAACAAAAAAAATCGCATCTAAAATATTACAGTAGAAGCTGTTCTTTTGGTTAAGACTTAATGCTCTCCCTCTCCCCCCGCTTGGGAATTTCGAGAAATCCTTTCTTAGTGTGCATTTCCATGACGTACCCTAAGTGTGTACCAAATTTTATCTCTTTAGGTTCAGCGGTTTGCTCTGGGCGATGATGAATCAGTGACTAAGTCAGTCAGTGACTCAGTCAGGACAAGTAATTTTATATATTTAGATATGCAAAGAAAATCTGGAAAACACCACACATTCAGTACATTGGTGAAGTGCAAATCTGTAATCAATTACCATTCGTTTCAGTGATTTCATCCACTTGGCCGCTGGTGGGCCAAAACTAAATAATAATTTTAACCAATAAAAATAAATTAAATAATACTATAATTAATCACAAAAATCTCAAAACTTCATTTGGAACATTAGTCATTTGAACATCATTACATAGGCCTACTTTAGTTATATGAACATAGAGAATTTCATTTACAGATAAGCTACCCTTACTGCTATTGAAAGCTGTGCATTGTGCCAGTTTTCCTATTGAGCACGTGTATAACACCTGCATGTAAAAGATGTGAGGCCTTCAGAGATTAGTGTCTTGTTTCACATGCAAGCAATCTATTAAAATGTATTAAAACTGCAATTTTCTCTGTCTATTTGATATGCTTGGTTAAATTTTCAATTTCATGATAAAGTTCAACATTTAATAAGAGTAGCTTAACCTCAATATTTTCTTAGATGCTTCATCACTGATTATTATTTGTCATCTTTTGTATCTTACATTGATTGCACCTTGCTAATAAATTTAAATTTGTTTCATTTACATTAAATTAATGAATAAATTACTTACCATTTGGCAATGACCACACTTTCAATGCACAATCCTGGGATCCACTTACTACAATTTTTTCAACTTGATTACATTTTAATTTTTTTGCTAATATTTTGCTCTCTTCAATAGAAAACAGAATAATTCCCTTTACAGGACCAATATGGCCTCTAAGACTACAGATCTCTTCTCCTTGATTATTCCATATTTTAACAGTTGTGTCTGAACTGAAATTATTCTTCACAATGTAAATTTATATAATAATCATGCCAATTAAAAAAATCATAAAAAGTATACAACCTTGCAGAAAGAATAATGTTTTCATCCCTCAAAACCACTTGCACCATATCATTATGATTCTCAAGTATCTGGACATTTAAGTTCATATTTATAAAGGAACAAACTTGTAATTCATTTAGTGTGTTATTTTGATTTTCAATTTCTCCAGATAATACAGTCTCCTCAGTTGAACTATTATTCCTCTGTTGTGTTGCTATCTCAACTGCTGTTGCTTCATTTACTACTTCTAAGAGTTTAATAATAATAAAAAAATTTATAACAGAAAACTTGATATAAAGATAAAGAATAATTTCATATAAATAAAATCGTGTATTTAATATTATAACCAATAATGAATTCATAAAATATAGAATATTTTATTTTATGATAACTTACCCATAAATACAAAACAAATTCACAAAATAAGTTGATATTGTTTTAACTATTATTTTCTTCTTTTCTAAAATAAAACAGAAATGATATTGTTCTGACAGATTAACTTGACAATAGCTAGCTGCTTTTGTCATTTTAGTTGTACAGAATGTGAATGTAATGAAAATTTTAAGTTTTACATAAAAAATAATTTAAAATGAAGAAATATATTAAGACAACTCTGTTAAATGGAACATATTTTAGTCAAATAGAACAACTTTCTATTTTTTAATTAACAACAATTAAAAATATTAAAGAAATTCATTAGAACAAGAAGCATATCAAAACCGATACCCTGAAGGTAACATAGTCTTCTGTTTTGAATATGACATTGCCAAAATAAGCCAATTACAGTGGTGCCTCCTATAACGTACGCCTCGAATAACGAACGTTGCGAATAACGGACTTTCTGTTTGAGCGTTACGTGACTCGAGCAACGGACTTGCTGCGAACAATGGACTTTACGTTCGGCAGTTACGTGAGACGAACAATGGACTTTTTTCGAACAAGTGCGAATGATGTTTCCACTCTTTTGCCGTTGCCAATGACAATCTGCTATTTTTAGGATATATTAGTATTATTAGAATGTATTATTAGTATATCTGAAGTAGAAATGTAATGTAATATATGTTGATGATTTAAATAAACATTAAATGTAATGTAAAATATGCTGATGATTCAAATAAACGAAATGTAATTGTGTAGATGCCGAGGTGGCAGGACGAAAAGAGGTTGTAAAAAACAAACGGAGCGAGAGTAGCTCGTAGAAGTGTTTAGTGATCTTAATTAATAAAGAATTATTCGTATCATATAATCTGGCAAGTTAAGTCATTTATAATGCATCATGGCTTCTAAAAAAACAGAAAGGTGATTTCAATTGAAACAAAGCAAGAAATCATCAGGAGTGAAAGTTGACAAAAACTTTCTTGTCGAATGGGGAGAGGTTCAGGAGTTTACCAACACTCATTATCCAAACAGAGCTGAGGCCAACAGGATCAATGATCTCTACGATGACACCTTTGTCCGTCATTTCCGACAGGTGTTAAAGAAGAAAGAGAAACAGACCACCTTGGTCATGTTTTTCAAGAAGCCAGCGGGCAAAAAACAAAGGATGGAACAAGAGAAGTTGACCCTGCAAGTTCCGGTAGCCTCTCCTGAATCTGACTCCGATTAAAAAACAATAAAAAAAGACCCGCTGCAATGTGTAAAAAGTCTGTATCTGTATGAATGTGTAAAGAAAGTGTTCTTCCACCTCCTCCTCACAACATCTGACTACCCGGCATAATTGGTGTCTGCTCCATTTTCATTTTTTATGGTACAGTACGGTTATTTTATGCTGCGGAACGAATTATATGTTTTAACATGTATTTCTATGGGAAAATGCGTTTCGTATAACGGACGTTTCACTTAACGGACGTGCACCTGGAACGGATTAAGTACGTTGTACGAGGCACCACTGTATTAAATTTTTATGGTTGAGTTTCTGCAAATGGTTTAAATATGTATATATTTTTTTTAAAAAAAAACCTAATATTTCAGTTCTTGTTATAATTTAGTAACATCTTATAAAAGTTATTCAGTAATAACAAAATTCTTATTACAGTAGATAAAGAATAATTGCAATTTTAGTTATTTAACTTTTATCTCAATATTATTTCTCTCATTGTAATAATATTCTCTACAAAATATATAACACCACCACTAAATAATGAAAAAAATACAGCTGATAATAAAATTTCTTTGATGGCACATTTAACAGTAATTTGACCATGTTTATGATTACTGATAAAGAAAATATATTTAAAATGCATTTGAAATTACAATGAGTACATAAAAATTTATAAACAATAAATAAAAATAAATCTTCAATTTAATATTATAAAATTTATATTTATTATATTATATAAAAAATTATTTATAAAAATATAAATGAATAGCTTAAACAAGGGATCAGCAACCTTTCAGCAGTGTTGTGCCAAATGTAAGTTATAGTGTTATTCTGACTGACAACACAATTCTACCAAGTTTATTATATATGTTATCAAAATTAATCTGATTATAATGGACTTCAAAAACGTATAATTTTGAAGTTAAGTTGTCAATTGAATTACAGTCTTACATGTTTACATAACAATAGATGGTGACATGGAGCATAAACACATGCATTGTAATAGAAATGTACAGAGATTCATTTTTAATGTACCACAGCTTTTGCTAAACTATGACTTCCATTTAAATGTGTAATTAATAATTAAAATATAATTTTTACTACATTTATATTCAATCAGAGTGCCACTGAAAATCATCCCGTGTGCCATAGGTTGCCACCCCTGGCCTAAACTATAATCTAAAAAACATTAAAGCTTTAAAGCCATTGTGCCAGTACACAATTAAAGCTTTAAAGTTAAAATATTCCATTCTCATTTCTAGAATGTAAAATAAATACTTAAAATTTACTCCAATAAAGAATTGTTTTCTTATAATTTAAATTTAAATCAGAGTTTTGGAAGTTTTCTAAGGACTATATACACAAACACAACAACACACATATATATATAAATTTATTCTTAATAATTTTTGATTCATTGTATAATTCATTATAATAATTAAATTGAATATGAATTACATAAAAATTACATAAAACATCCATAGATGAATTACTATAATGTGGTATATCATATAAAACACATCATATGAATAATACCATTTTCTCTGTTTTCTGTAATTTGAGGGGATTCAGATTCAAAATCTTGTTCCTGATGAATATTCTGACCATGAGATGAAGTACTTGGTTCATCAATGAAATTATAATTTCCTAAAAATATTTAAAGGTCATTTTTTTTGTGACAATTACTCTACTTAATATGAAAATTCAAATAATTTTAATATTTACATTTCTTTACTACGCATTAATAAATGTTTTTAAATGTATCACCTATATTTATACTCTAGAATAAAATAAAACTAAATTAAATATAATTCTATATTAAATTTTTGAAATATATACAATATCTATCTATGACCAAGAATGTGCACAGGCAGTTTTAGGGTTTAACCACCCTTTTGAGAGGAATTTTAAAAAATCAAATAAAAAATAATAATATAAAAAATTGCAACTCATTAAATTAATTAAAACCTACCAACAACATTACTAGATAAAAAAAGTTAGGAATTTCAAGAAAATATAAGAACAAATGAATTGAGAAGTTTCACAATGGTTCTATCAATAAGATGTTTCGTTACAAAAAAAAAGTAAATGAAAGTTTATCAATAAGATTGGAAGTTTGTAGAATATAGTGGAAATTTCTAGTATGTTCCATGAGGGTAACAATACATCTGTGCAGAGTGAGCTATTTTATGATTAGAAATACGCAAAGAATTGGCCATTCTCCAATATCAAACTGCAACAGATGAACTACTAAAATCACATTTGGACATTTCATCAAAAAATGCTATAAACACAAGCAATAGAATCCAAAATGAAGTCCTTTCTATTTTTAAAAAATATCTTGGAAATGTTGGTAGAAAGTATTAATAAATCTAAAGATTTCTCAGTACTAATCGATAAAACAACAGACATTTCTGGTTTAGAACAACTTTCCATATTTGTGAGTTATATAGTAAAAGACAGTGGAAAAAAAATTTTTTATAAACTTTGTGACAGACTGCACAAAGAAAAATCTAGTCACAACTTCAATCAAATTTTTGCAAAAGAATTGTATTGATTCATCTTATCTGTATGGTTAATTTAAGCACATAATGGAACAACAGCTAAATGAGAAAATGCACAGATGGTTCCTATTTAAATCTTTATATAACTTTTTCAATTACCCAAAAAATTAGAATATTGTCATAGAGAACCTAGTAGCCTAGAGACCTACAAATATCTCAATCTGCTACTCATAATCCAGTCATGCAATCCTGAAACCCAGCTGTATTCTATGCTATAAGAGGAAAAATGGTAGACCATGGGTAAGGTGACAACCAAAAACATATTACTGTAAAAGCAAAACCATATTGACCAGATTAGAGTTGTTCTTGGTCTATTGTTCTCTTATATCATGGAAGCACTTTGATCTAAACAAATGAGTTATCATACACACATAACAGTTCAGACAGAATTTTCACTTCAAACTTTGAAGTAGCCATATTTCAAACTAACAGGACTTCGAACTATCCTAGTTCAAATTAACGAGGATTTCCTATATTCATTTTTTAAAAAATCAAATAAAAAATAATAATATAAAAAATTGCAACTCATTAAATTAATTAAAACCTACCAACAACATTACTAGATAAAAAAAGTTAGGAATTTCAAGAAAATATAAGAACAAATGAATTGAGAAGTTTCACAATGGTTCTATCAATAAGATGTTTCGTTACAAAAAAAAAGTAAATGAAAGTTTATCAATAAGATTGGAAGTTTGTAGAATATAGTGGAAATTTCTAGTATGTTCCATGAGGGTAACAATACATCTGTGCAGAGTGAGCTATTTTATGATTAGAAATACGCAAAGAATTGGCCATTCTCCAATATCAAACTGCAACAGATGAACTACTAAAATCACATTTGGACATCTCATCAAAAAATGCTATAAACACAAGCAATAGAATCCAAAATGAAGTCCTTTCTATTTTTCAAAAATATCTTGGAAATGTTGGTAGAAAGTATTAATAAATCTAAAGATTTCTCAGTACTAATCGATAAAACAACAGACATTTCTGGTTTAGAACAACTTTCCATATTTGTGAGTTATATAGTAAAAGACAGTGGAAAAAAAATTTTTTATAAACTTTGTGACAGACTGCACAAAGAAAAATCTAGTCACAACTTCAATCAAATTTTTGCAAAAGAATTGTATTGATTCATCTTATCTGTATGGTTAATTTAAGCACATAATGGAACAACAGCTAAATGAGAAAATGCACAGATGGTTCCTATTTAAATCTTTATATAACTTTTTCAATTACCCAAAAAATTAGAATATTGTCATAGAGAACCTAGTAGCCTAGAGACCTACAAATATCTCAATCTGCTACTCATAATCCAGTCATGCAATCCTGAAACCCAGCTGTATTCTATGCTATAAGAGGAAAAATGGTAGACCATGGGTAAGGTGACAACCAAAAACATATTACTGTAAAAGCAAAACCATATTGACCAGATTAGAGTTGTTCTTGGTCTATTGTTCTCTTATATCATGGAAGCACTTTGATCTAAACAAATGAGTTATCATACACACATAACAGTTCAGACAGAATTTTCACTTCAAACTTTGAAGTAGCCATATTTCAAACTAACAGGACTTCGAACTATCCTAGTTCAAATTAACGAGGATTTCCTATATTCATTTTTTAAAAAATCAAATCTTTCAATAAGAAATTCAAATGTTTCAAGATATAAAATAATAACAAACATAAAAGACCTAACTACTATAATATGAAGGCACATTGTTATTTACAATTTCATTTACAATTAAAACTTTTAAATTTTAACTGTAAATAAATACATTTTAATAAAATACACTTTCATTTATAATTAATTAGACTAATTAAAAACTGAATACAACAATTAACATCACCAATTTTTTGTAATGTAAACCATTTTAATGCTTATGTATATATAAATAATATCTTCAGAGTTAATTCCATAATTTTATTGGTATTCAAGGTATTCAATTATTGGTTAATTTTATTGGTATTGGTATTTGAATTTTAATATTAACATTTATTAAACTAAAATATTTTAATTTTGTTAAATATATTAAATGTGTTTACTAAATTTAATGAACGAAAGATTCAAAAATATCAAAAAATATACAGTAAATGCATCAGATACATATTATAGAACATGAGATTGTTCTACTGGTATTTTAACAACATACATATCACATTATTGAAACAAACTTATTTGAATGTTTTTATATTTTATTATTGTCCTGGCTGGCATTTGCATTTATTTATTAAACTTATGTAAANTACAATATGTTATGTGTAAATATTTTTAATAAAAATTTTTTAAAATTATATAGCAATACAAGTGAATTTAATTTAATGATTTTTATAATAAAAATTTTGTTTAAATTGTTAAATAAGAATTAATATGATATTTATTTATTATAAAACATATTCAAAACTTACTAATATCAGTGTTTGTTGTAAATAATTCCAAATTTTCTGATTCTGAATGTTGATCAAAATCATTTTGAGAAGTAATTAATCTCTGCCTCTTCACTTCATTTTGTAAATTCTGAGTAATAACATCTGTGTCTTCACTGCATATAGTAAAATCAAAATAAATACATCATAATTATAATAATAATAATAATAATAAAAATTAAATTTACTACTTATTACTATATTATTTTAAGTTTTCTATTTATACAAAGTGTCTCATCAAATTTGCATAAATTCAGCAAAACAAAAATCTTTACTTGGTGTACATAAAAAATAACCCTGTACCTCTATGACCCATAATTTTTTAGAAAAATGCAAAAAAGTATGACATCACATCCAGTGCACAGAAAATAAGCTTTATTGGAATCATGAACATCGGTACTTGCATATGACATTATACTTATGTAGGAAGATACTCAAAATGACCATTGCACACATTGAGGCATGCATGAACACATTGTAGAATAAATGGAACAGCAGCTAAGTGAGAAAATGCATAGATGGTTCCCATTTAAATCTTTATATAACTTTAAAAATTAGAATATTGTCATAGAGAATCTAGTAGCCTAGAGACTACAAATATCTCAATCTATGATTCAATACTGTGTTGCCCACAAAAATGAACATAGCATGAAGACGAGCAACCAAGTTGCTTTCTGTAGTCTTCAACAGTCACAACAGTCATATGTAGTCAGAGTCCAATCCTCATGCAATCCATCCATAGACATAACATGCTACATTTAATTCAGGTTTGAAAAAAGTAACTTCTAACTTTAGTTACAGTATACAAAATTTTCAAAGGCAATCACATGACACACTCAAATTGCTCTCAAGAGAGTAATGAGAGTTAAAAAAAATTCTAAAAAGCATAAAAATTTGCTTTTACATTTAAAATATGCATTTATAACTCCCAAATTTTGGGACAGGATCACTGGATTTCCATTTTTATATTCATTTTAGGGATTATCATCCAAACTTCAAATACATATTTACATAAAAATCCAAGTCCTTGTAAGTGTCTATTTTTTTAATTTTTAATAATATAAAATATTTTTCTGACAACTCAGCTATAAAAACATTTTATAGCAATGATATCATCCAATCACATTAATAATAATATATTTGAACAGACAGATTAATAGTTCAAATTTATATTAAAATCATTGAGACATGACAAAATTCAAAAAATAATTGACATGTTACTAATTAACCACAAAATGTTAATTATCTAATGTTTAATTCTGTAATCATGTGTGTGTTCATCTTACATATGTTTTTTTTTAAATAGAATGTGGTCTATTAATTTAATGAAAACATTTAGTTCTCCCTGAAATGCACATATTCTGTAAATCCTTGTGGTGTGGGCTAAGTAATTGCTAACTTTGTTGTCTAAGTATGGAATGTATACAACTTTATTTAAAACCAGAATTAATTAAAAGAGTGGAAAAGAAAGTAAAAAGATAATGTGATATACAATATATGCAGACACAAGTCAACTTTTCAATAGTGATGGGACGATTAATCAGAATCAGGAATCAGAAAAATTGAGTATTTTCCAGGAATCAGAATCAAACAAATCTTGTCAATATTTCCGATTCTTCCACATTTAATAAGAAAATTAATTATTTGTTTCAGTCAAAGATTATAAATTTTTAAAGTACAATATTAACAACTAAGTATTAATTTATTGGAAACTTTCATGTTGACAAAGCAGAGATTATGTGACACTCTACACACTTGGTAATGGGGAACTTTTTTCTGTAGTCAGAGCAATGAGCGATTGCACTTGGTCAGTACTGTAAGCTTGCTGACTTTCGGGGAGGGTTCTGTTAATCCTGCATCAGGAAGGCTAGGGTTGCCTGTGTGTGGGTGGTGGCAGCGGAGACAGAGATGACAAGTGTTTTACAAAGAAAACCATTTATTATGGCAGAAGTATGCTTACATATGTGATGAGTTACAAAGATCTTGGTGTCTCGAGATATCTCTGGTCAAATGTTGCACTGGTAAGATATGTGCAGTCCCGGGGCAGGTGAGAAAAGTTCATCAGTCTTCGGTCTCGATGTTGACAAGCAGCTGATGGAGGTGCGATGTTTGGTCCGATGGAAGATGCACACATGGCATGATTTCAGTGGTGCACAATTTAATGATTGTAATCTGGAGGGTGACTCTCTGATCAACCTTCAATTACTGATTTTTATAGTTTTTCTCCCACTGTCTGTATTTTTGATTGTCCCCATGTCCCATTCCTCACTTCCCAATTGGTCTCTCCTTTGTCTCCAAGTGAAAACAGAGACCTGATCAGAGATTGTTGATAGAACTATAAGCCTTGCACTCATAATTTAGCCTGTTGTTTTCGTTTTCTGTCATTTTGGAACTTTAACGATTCTATGCAATGTTTCTTTAACTGTCAAATCTTTTTCCCTTTTCCAAATTTTTAACCTAGATCAACTGTTTATGAGCACTTGTGTCAGAGTTCTATCTTTCCAGACCGACATTCCTTCTGATTCATTACGTCATTCATCTTCACGTCACGTTTGTTTTGACAACCACAGTTTTTTCTCTCCTCTCTCTTATGTATCTTACATGACCTTTGGTCCAATTTGACAATAATGTTAATTTGACAATAATAATAATAATAATTTGACAACAATAAATTTAATTCCAAGTTGTTAAAAGCAATGTTTTGCTTTTAACAACTTGGAATTAAATTTTAGTTTTGACCTATTCTGGAATCTAGTTTTGACCTCACAGGGCTCCCCACCATTTTTAAATGTTGCTTTGAGGTTAGTGACATTTTAACTGGTAGCTTCAGAATGTCAGTTTGACTTCTGCCTTTCTGGAGGTGGTGGTCTCATTAACTTACTCATCAACTGAGTTGCACTAAACCACGCAAACTACAATTGACCAAGAATTGATAAGACGTGCAAAGGGATGGTTCTGGTCGGCACGCGTTCTTCCAGGCCGAGCCTCCAGCAAATGTTGGAAGAACACATTCACACAGGTGAGACGTGATATTCACTCTCATCACCTTGCAAATAGGCAGAGGTGAAACAATTCACAATTTTACATTCAAATATGGCACGATCGTTAAGCCAATTGGGTACAATATGTTATGTGTATGTTTCTGTTTGCACTTCGCAGCTCTTTTCATCTTTGTTGTTCTGAAGCGACTTACAGTTTAATTGCTAATTTAAATCATACAGTTCAGATTGAATTAAAGAATAAATGGGTTTATTATAAGAACATAAACTGGTTATAGGGATTATGCATTATATGTATGTATATATGTATATAAGAAAATATAAAACTTTGAGAAATTTTTTTCCCTTTTCTTTTCACTCCTAATTTTTCTCATTCATTGAGCACTTTCAAGCTTTTTATGGCTAATGCTTATCTCTCTAGGTCTTGGGATCAAGCCTTGCCTGTTAATGTCTGCAGTTCCAACTTTGTGTTCGGCTGCATGCATGTTATTCCTGGCTTCTGTCCTTACAATGTTGCTGCAGGACCTCCAGGAGCTCTTGTCCTCGTCCGATTCCTTGTCAGGGTTGAAGTGGATTGGCTTCCCTGTCAACCAGTGATTGGGGTCTGTCGGTGTTTTGGGAGATTACTTCTTGTTGGCTCAAGCCACCACTTGGGTCTCTGTCTGGCTGAGACATGTCTGTTGATGACCTTGATCTCCATTGTCCTCTTTCATCCTGAATTTGGACTGCCCATTCTATGATGAGTCCTAATGACCTCATCCACATCTACTTAGAGTTCGTTTGTAATCTTGGCCCATTGAGGGAAGACGAGGGGTATCAGGGTGTTACTGCTCCCGGATCCTTTGTATTGCGTGGCAAAGGGCTTGTTCTTTTACTTTATGCTTACATTCCTCCTGCCGAACACTTGAGATGAGTATCCTATCAAACCCGATGACATCAAGCTCCCAGAGATCAGATGCCTCTGCCATCGGTCTTGTCTGGCAAAAACACAAATAAAGATGAATTTTAATGTCTGAGAGTACATACCCAACTTTAAAGAATTATATTGCATGTGAGAGACATGATTTCGCCATGTTATTCGGTACAATATGCATGTGTACGTCATATCTTTACAAGAGACACATTTTTAAGAATGATTTACTATTGTTCTCTGTCTTGCTTTGACACTTTGATAGGGCTCCACTTTCTACTTATTATTTGAGGATCAAATAATAAGTACATATGGGTGATTTTATATATGTATATTGAATTTGTGTAAATGCCATTAGATTTAATTTCGATTTATATGTTCCAAATTTTTTAAATTTAATGTATTTAAAAACATTTGATTCCAAGCATTCAGTTTTTGGAATACAATTGGTTTAACAACCTGAAGCACACCAATCATATCAACTGGTTTTTCAACAAAGATGAAAAAACCAGTTGATAAGAGCTAAAAAAAAAAGGGCCAAAATGAATTCTAGTCAAAAATTTTGATACAGTTTGTCAATAAATATCATAATAAACTTAGTGTGATAAATCTGTATTGAGGATGTATTGATCCAAATTGTATAACAACAAGTAACAGACTGGAATCAAAAGATTAATCCAGGAGATGCTGGTGTAGACAGTTTCTCTTGACCCCATGATGAGAAGGCTCCATTTACATCAGTATCTATAACTGGCATGATTGCATGTTTGTGCAAACAAATTATTAACAAGGATTAATTTTTCCACTTCAGATCCTTAATTTTGGATCAAGATTTTGCAGAGGGTAATCACATTCATAACCTCACAACTTGCAGATAGAAGAAAAAAGCTATTCCAAGGTATTTGATTTTCAATCATTGATTCTAAGTTTGAGTCAAGAATTAGTATTATGTGAGAACCTGGACTTTATGAACAAAACTTTAATCTACAAAAAAAAGAAAATCAGTCAATACAATATTGTTGGCAGCAATAACTGTCAACTTTTCTATCTGAGAGCGTCTCATCTTACATGCTCTCAATGCTGACAGAGACACTTTCCCACAACCTTCTGCCCTCCTGACCATGTTCTACCATTTTAATTTGACGAATAGAAGCCAGTTCAGACAGTTGTCACTAATTCCTCCAAGAGTGAAAGTCATCACCAATTTCTCCATGACACAAGAAGTCCTCAATACTTAAAGTTGTCACCTGCTCTGCCAATAGTCCAATCATCACCTCTTCCAATAGAGAAAAATCACCACTTTCTCCAATGGAAGAATACCCTGACTCAAAACTAGAAATTTCAATGCTTTTCTTCTTTGGACTATCCCCATAGTGCCGGACTCAGTCAACAGAACGATCATCCCATCCACAAAGTTCTTCTATTTCCAGGTATTTATAACAACACACAATTTCATGTAAACTCTCTCTCTCACAAATGCTTTGATGTTGCTCTAGTATCAATTATCTATTTGTCTCACTACTGTTAGCATGTAGATCATATAACATAAAATAAATGGGTATTTAGCATCTGAGTGTCTTGCTTCCAACATGCTGTCTCACACTACACCATCCCAAATTCAACCACCTACATGACTGCTCACTTAACAAATTTGAATGAAAATAAACAGCCCTCGCAACTTCTGTATCTGTTTGACAGGACACAGTAGTGCCAACCCTCTGGTCACAAATATATGATTCATATACTCAATTTAGAAATAAATACTATATGCAAAAAAGAGAAATTTCTATTGGATCCCTGACTGCTGGATATCTAATGAAATTAGCAATTACAAGGACTGAAAAAGAATCATATCTCATCTCCAGATATGATTTTATGAGATACAGTTGATCAAGATACAGCCCTGTGTTTATCAATTTTAAACATTAATTAGTATAGAATCAGTGAATTAATAGGAAAAATATAAAATACTCACTCAAAAACATTAGAAAAAAGTATATGTAACTTTTTTCTAATGTTTTTGATCATTTTAAATAATAATCTCAAAAGAGCAGGCAATTCATTTCAAGGACGTTAATGTAATTCTGGGAGTGTGGAAAGCTTTGCTGCATAGCACTAATTACTGACATTTAAATATTATTTTATTTATTTACTGATGTATTTTGGTTTATTTTAATGTAGTATTATTTTATTTTATTTATGGAATTATTTTTGTTAATAATAATATGAGCTTTTAAAAAAATGTTCTAAAAAACAGTTAGGCATTTGTTCTTATTGCAATGTTTTTCCTGAAGATCATTTAAAATGATCAAAAAACATTAGAATAAAGTTATATGTACTGCATTAAAAAGTTGTTGAGTGAGTATTTCATAAAAGTGCAATTTAAAAAGGAGTAAATATTAAAGGAAAATATAAATTAAATAAAAATAAATAAATATAAATTTATATACCTATTAGTACTGTCTTCTGAATCTTGATTCATTCTACTTGTTTTCATTTGTCTTTTCATTATTTCTCAATATAATACAAGATTCTATTTAAAAAATTTAAAAAACAAATTGAGTTATAAAACTAATTCAGAATAAAAAATTCTATAAATAAATATTGTGGCTTAAAACATTATAAGAGAACCAAAATAAGATGTTTTCAACATAAACAGTTAACTAACAATGTACTAAAACAAAACATATCAGTTTTTAAATTATATTAATGTTCATAATATTAGTATTAATTTTACTTTGTTTACTTTATTCATTATGGAATAATATGACAAAATTTCTCATAATAGTATTAATCATTAAATATAAAAAAAGCAATGCCTCTTCAAAATAATACTGTAATAATAATAATTTCTAAAAACTTCATTATTATTAACAGTCTACAGAAAACAGTATAAAGAAAAAAACCTGTCATTTTCCATAAATTTGGTAATCTGAAAGAAAATGCCTATTTGATCTGACTAAATTAATACAAAAAAATTTTTTCTAGTCTACCTTTTTGTAGTTGTATGCATTGTTAACTGTTACCATTTTATCACTTTTGCTGATTAAAAAATAAAAGAAGGAAAATCTATGATCAGAACACATTTCTTGTTCAACTGACTTTCAACTTTTGAAACTATCTGCTACTGATATAGCAGCAAGAGTAAGATCAATCCAGCTTTTCCCAAAAGATGAGCAATACATTGGATCTGAGTTTTGGTTAATAAGTATTAAATCAAAATCTTCAATGAACTCTTCAAATAGGGAACCATGCCTGTTAGTCATCATATCAAGCCAGTCTGTTTTCCTGGCATTTAAATCAACACCAATAACTACATCCCTAGAGGAAAAAAATTAAGATTATATTTAAGACATCAAGTTTGTCTTTCAAGGACTCTGAGGGGCTGCAAAAATAAACCTTTTAACAAAATCCACAGTAATAATAACATGCCACTTATTGCTTGTCTATGGTATAAATGCTACAGAAAGTTTAGTATTGTATTATACAAGGTAATAGCACATCATCATCACAACTTTGCCATTATAAGGAAAGGGCTCTATGTTCTTCATTATAAGTGGAAAATATAAGGCTCTTGCACTAGAATTATATCTACACTATGATCTTATATGTATTTCTCTAAGTTAAGTGCAATTTACAATGGACGCAAATGGCACGAAAGTGAAGAGAGTGAACAGAGCAAACGAAGTGAGCAAAGAGAATTTTGTTCACGCTGCAAGTGGCAGTAAGCATGGTCACATGTTGTAGTTTCTCACTTTTATCAATAGATGGCATTTTAAAAAAATTTGATATATATTGCAGTTACCATGTTAACATTCTTGTTTACTGTGTTGTGAGGCTTATCAAAATTAAATTATGTACCAATATTATTTGCAATACAAATTTTTTTTCCACTTCTGTGAGTCAAAAACTCTAGTTGAGATGAAAATGTTTTCATTGGCTTGTGATTGCCAACATGCCTAGCTGTTGCATAGGCTGCGTTTCTTTATGCAGCGAGAGTGCAGCGTAAATGACGTCACAAGCAGCGATCGCTACACGTCGCTGCATCATAGTTTAGAAACACTTTCCGCTCAAGCGAAACATGGACACCTTAATATATTCTCTGATTTCGATTACAGCCGAAAGTAGTATTTTAGCTAAAGAATTACGACATAACAAAAAAAGAAAGTACGAAGAATTGAGCCTTGCTGTTTCCAAAAAAATGAACAGAACAAAGAGACAGAAGATAGATAATTATGTAGAAGACGTAGTATTTTCTTATTCTTTGGATGACTTTCAGAGTCATTTTAGACTTTCAAGAAGTTCTACAGAAGTAAGTTTTACATTAAATACTTTTTCTAATAGGAAACAAAATGCTATAATTTATAAAATAGCCTATTTAGTTTTACATGTGTTATTCTGTAAGATTTTCTGAAAATTAAGTTTTTTAAATGAATCAAATTTTGATATTCGTTAAGTTAATCGAATTATAATTACATTTAAGTTTCGGAAATTAGTTAATGATATATTTTTTCTTATCAGCATAGTACAATGATACTGTACTTTGTTTAGTTAACATTCGTAAATTAAGTCAGTCTACTGTATGCACTATAATATTAATTAATTACATGTTTCTGCCTGTTATTTTTTCTTGTTCATTAAATAAAACTTATCGTTTATATGTTTATTTTTATAGGAAGTTATAAAGTTAATAAATACAACAAGGAGTGAAAAAAAAGATGGGTTGACCTTGTATTTCCACAAACAAAGAAGTGTTGTTAAGTATATGGACACTTGCTAATCAAGAGTCTTTCAGAGGCATTTCTGATAGATTTGGTTTAAGTAAAGGTCATGCTTACAGGAATTTTATGAATTTCTGTAATAAAATGTGTTCCATGTTAAGTAATTTTATTAAGTGGCCATCAAACAATTTGGACAACACCATACACAAGTTTGAGCAATTACGGAAGATTCCATTGCCAGGTATAATTGGATGTGTTGATGGAACACATATATTTATAAAGGCATCTAAAAAAGATAGCCAAAGTTATTTTAACAGAAAAGGAAGACATTCCATTTTGTTACAAATAATTTGTGATGCAGAAATGCAGATAATTGATGCTTTTGTTGGATGGCCTGGAAGTTCCAATGACTCTCAGGTGTGGAAACAAAGTCCAATATACAAATTATTACTGCAGGAACCATCAAAATATTTAGGAAACGATTATTATTTATTAGGTGATTCTGCATATCCTTTAGATACTTTTTTATTGGTACCATTTAAGGATTTTGGTAGTCTCACTATAAAACAAAAAACTTATAATAAAAGACACAGTTCTGTCAGAGTAGTAGTGGAACAAACGATAGGACTTTTGAAAGGACGTTTCCGCAGACTTAAATATTTAGACATGGAAAATATTGCAGCCATGTCTAAAGTGGTTATGACTGCATGCATTTTGCATAATTTATGCATTAAGAAAGGAGAAAAGGATATTCCAGAAGATATCTTACTTGATAACTGTAATGATGATAATGGTGATAATTTTCCTGAAAACACACAAAATCGTGCAGCTGCCATAGAAAAACGAAACAGAATAGCAGATTTCTTGATGGAGAAGTAAAATATATTTTAAGTACATCATTTTGTATGAACTATACATATAAAATAAAATTTAAATTAGTTATATAATCTTGTATTTTTTTGTATAAGTACATTTTATTTTAACACATTGCATTTGTAATATTGCATTTGTTATATACAGGGTTCTGATGCACCTGGAAAGTGAGAGATTTTCATTAGTGTTTGGAAAAAGTCATGGAAAGTAGAAAGTAATTATAAGTAATTAAACCTATCATACAATTTGCCAAACAACACTAAACTGATAAGTTAACAAATATTTTAGATGAAAGTTAAAAGAATGCTTTAAGTACATGTTATCATCATCATAGGATAGCATATACAATTATAAACTTGATGCAATATGTTGAATTCAGTGCTATTAATCAATTTTATTTCTATGATGAGTTTTATCAAGTTCAGGAAATTTATTAGAGAGAAATTTAATAAATATTTACTTTTGTACATGGATTTGTTAATGAATAATAAATAATGGCTTTTTATTTTTTTCAAAGCCACATAGATTTATGATTGTGGATTAATAACAGAATAAAACTATTTTTAATTTAATAAAACATTTATTCAACAATTATAAAAATTATGTAATTGTTAATTAGAAAAAACTAATTATGCTATTGCTTTTCACTTCTTATTTGCATAGTAAGTCATATACTGTTTTATTTTATCAATGTGCTGTACTGTGAGGGTCAGAATTTACAAAGTTGGTCAGGATGTCATGGAATTTAAAACAAACATTTGAGTAGGAACACTATATGCATGAAATTTGAGAAGTCAAACTTCCTTATAAAATTTTAAATTGATTAAATTTACATACTTGACAGACTATTTCAAAATTGAAAAGAATGCACTTCAAGACAAGGAAGGTGTTTCATGTAAGAGAAAAAATTTATTTGAAATATTCTGTGTGTCAGAAATATTTGTAGTGAACATAAGAAAATCATATGTTCAACTGTCAGTAATGTGTTTACTATTTATTAGATTAATTATCTGATGTTTGCCACACTTATTAAAAACGAAAACTAAATAAAAAATGTTTTTATGATAATTTGTTTGAATTTTCAGTTATCTCAAGATTCCTGTTTTTAAAATAAAAATAAATGATTTAAAATACACAAATAATATAATTAACATTTTATTTAAAAATCATAAAATAGTAAAATTATTCATTCATTTAATTAGTTTTTTTAACTATATTTAATATATCTTTTAAAATTTTTAATTTTTCATTTTCAATTTTCTCTAATTTCTTCCACCTTTTTTCCTCTGATTCTTCCTGTTTTTTCATAAAATTTAAAAACCACTCTGGAGGCTCAGATGATGATTTTTTTTTCTTTAATTTCTTCCACCTTTTTTCCTCTGATTCTTCCTGTTTTTTCATATAATTTAAAAACCACTCTGGAGGCTCAGATGATGATTTTTTTTCTTTCGTGGTGGTGATGAGGACGACGACGGAGGAGGAGGAGGAGGAGGAGGAGGAGGTGGTGGTGATGACGATGATGACGATGGAGGTGATGGTGATGGAGGTGATGGTGGTGGTGATGAAAGTGGTGGTGCTGGTACTGCTCTTTTTTCAAAAGTTGAAGCTAATAGTGTTTCAGGAGGAGGACTAACGTTGGCTTTTAAACCAAAGAAGTGGTCGAAATCTTCATGGAATTCCCAAAAAGAAAGTCGACCACTTCCAGATTTTCTCATCTGGTCTTTCCTCCTCCTATAAGTTAATATTAAATTTTGCCACTTCCGATCACATTCCACTGCTCCTACGTTGACACCTTCTTTTTTCAACTTTACACTGGCATCTCCCCATAGTTTGACTTTTTTACAATTCGGCTTCTCAAATAATGAGTCCATTTCTTGCCGAATTTCAATAAGTTTTTTTTACTGAAAATGATGTCCAAACATTTTCCTATGAAAAATGAAGTTTCATCAGCATATTTAAGTGTAAATTTTATAAAACTATTTTAAACATTATTGTTACTAAGTAAAAAGGCTACTTAGAAATGTTATTCAATAACAAAAATATAAAGAATGTATTAGTTTTATTTAAAATATATAATGAAATACTTACAGAATCCGATTTGTTTTCTTTGTTATTTGCTGAAACTGAGGATGTACTAGTATTTAAATCTGCAATTTAAAATATGATTACTTTTTTTCATCTATCCACCTTATAAGTTTTACTTAAACATATATGTATGTCTGATATTATGAGATAACTGCTTAAATATAATTTAAACTATTTCATTTACATTTTACAAAATATATTATATAATTTTAAAAAATATCTATTAAATTATCTAACCTTTATTTTCTGTGTTCTCATGGTTGGGGAACATTAATTTAAAATACTCTTCTTTAAAGGCATTGTCTGGAAAATATATAAATTATAATCAAATCTCACAATACAAGAAATCATATATAATTGAATAATTTTCAATTATTCTCTATTCAATCTACACATTTAAGTTAAGTATTAAATATAACATAATAATTAATATATTACATATAATTGAATTATATAAAAACAATCGATAACAGCTATACTTTAATAATTCGAAAGTACATTTAATCTGTAAATTTACCTGTTGTTAATCTTTCCATGATGTTCTTGTCGACAATTACCTCGACTTTTTTGTTATCGCTGGTTAATACGACATTATACATGCAAGCGTCCATTTTGCTTTAAACGTGTAGCAAACGTAAAAGCTGCTTTATCTTCGCTGCAGCAACCTCTTGCAGCAAACGTTTAGAAACGGTTCGCTACATTGCAGCGCTGCATTTAGAAACGGGTTTCAGAGTGTTCGCTGTTTAGCGCTTCTCGAGCGCTGCATAAAGAAACACAGCCATACTCTCATTGGCTGACATGAGAATTATTTAACTCACTTCATGAGGTCATTCATGCTCATGTTTCATCTTTTCTTTGTTACACTTTGCACCCTTCACGTCCAGTGTAAATCATATTTTACTTGTTGCTGATTTAATAGGATTTAAGTTAATTAATTAAATTGTATAATTTTCAGTTCACCATAATCTGTATTTTCAACTATTTTTCTGTTACTTTCAAAATATCGTAGGATAATTAGGATCAGTAATGCTATGTTTGAAGTCAACAATAGTAGCATTCATCTGCTTGTTCCATCTTATGCAATTAACACACTTTATACAGGAGTTATCAGACTTAATGTGACAGTTTTTAAAACGGTGGCCCTCCTCATCACAACAAGTATATGTTGGCTGAGTAAATATACATATCACTTTGCCAATGACAAAATTTCGCATTTACAACATTGCTTTAAATCAAGAAAATCAAGCCTAGGTAAACCAAGGTTATATCTGGTTTATATCTGGTTATATTTCAAACCCAGGTATAACTGTTTTTTATTATTATTAATCAGGAAGTATCTCACATCTGATGACACATAGCTATCCAGTTTATTCATCCTTGGAATCAGCTTTCATTCAAAAACCAAATTTTAATTCAAATTTTTGATCATGTTCCACAGTATCTGAAACTGTTTTATTTTGTCCATACAGAGAGTCAAGAACATCATCTTTTCCCAAGGAATTGTCCACATATATTTGTATCATGGGGAAATCTTTCAACATTTTTTTACTGCAGTATGTTTAAAAGAGTCCTTGTGTTATTCTAGTTTTGTATTGCCATACTAAAATCACTAGCACTATTAGAGGCACTTTACCCTAATCTTCCTATCTTTAACACAGAGTAATGATCAATCCTTATACCACTTTTAACTGAATTTAGTATCTTCAAATGATTGTTTTTAACTTCTGTTAACTTAGGCTTTCTTAAAACCTCTTCACTAAGTTTCAGAAGGATGGTTTCATTTTTTTTTTCTTTGACACATTCTGCAAATGTTCCTTAGTGGAAATCATCCTTTAACTCTTTTTTAGAATGAAAGTATGTAAGGTCTGACCTGTATTATTTCCATTTTTTGGAACCTTGATTAATTTCCCTTACAAAGTTGATTCTTTTTCCACAGTATCCAGAACATTCTATAATCAGTGGAAAATACTATATAGTTTTTGCATACATAAACATCTCAAAGCTTGATGTTATAATAATAAGCCAAACATATGTTACATTGAATCGAGACACTTTACTGCTACTATTAATAATTAAATTCTGAGTAATTTGGTACTAGAGATAGGTGTTAGGTACCATCTCTTATTAAATTTAATGCTTATAATTAATATTTATTAAATTATTTAGAATATTCTGGAAAAAAGAATTGACCTGGAGCGAGACTTAAACCCACAACTGCTGCTTACTGTGAGGATGCATTGCCAGTTATGTTACCCGGACCTCTGTCTGACCCTCCACTTTCAGATATACTTAGTTTATATATAAATAACCATGGATGGTTATGTTTAAATAGTTTATATGCATACTGTCAATACTTTAAGAGAATAATAGACCAAAAGCAACTCTAATCTGGATACTGTGAAAGCAAAATCAGCATGTCTTTGCTTTTACAGTAACACATTTCTAGATGTCACCTTACCTATCGACTACCTTTTTTCTCATAAAATACAGTTGAGTTTCAAGCTTACAAGATTGGTGTACTAGTAGCAGATTGAGACATTTGTAGGTCTCATGCTACTAAATTTAAGCAACCAACTATTTTTTAGGTTACATTTCAAGAATTTTGCTTTACTTTTTATAAAAATTATCTGGCAACCTGTGAGGTTCCCACTGGACATATAATGTTTATCTGTAGTTTATTTATTATATAATTATTAATTAACAAAAGTAGTGTTTGTTCACATAGCCATATTCTGTTTGCTTAAAAAATTACATCAGTTATATGGCATTTGGCATATTGTACAGAAATATATAGATCTTGGATAATTCAAAACTCAATACTTCAAAGTTGTGATTATTTTGTCCTCTGAACTAATGAGTATTTCCTATATATACTTGAAGAGTAATCTGTTTGTTAGTCTCAACAGAATCCATTATGATTTTGATACATGTTGTATGATTCCAGCAATTGATAATTATTTTTGGAGAAATTTCTTCCCTTGCACAAGCAAAAATGAAAATTTAAGCATTGATGACATTTTGATAATAGATTCTGATGACATTAAAAAATCTGTCAAACTGTAAAAGATATAGAAGAATATCAACCAGAAAAAGAAAATATGGAAAAATTCACATCTTTTACAGAAGCTTTAAATGCTCGGAAAATTTCATTGCATTTTTTTCAGAATATGCCAAAAGATCACAAGAAAGATATTGCAGCACATCAAAAAAATGAGATTCTGTATAAAAGATTATTACCAACGAAGATTAAAACAAACCAATATAACACAATTTTTCAAATGTAATACAATAATAAATAAGACTAAATGAATGTTTATTCATTATTGAAAGTTTATACAATAAAAAAATAAAATCAAATCTTGCTATATAAAAATAAGATGTTTTAAAAATTGTGAAAATGCATTTTTAAGAACCATTTGACCTATTCTGGACCAAGAACTATTAAGGCTTTATTTTGACCATTCTCTTTTCATAAGAAAGTATTTGATCTGATTGATCTACCTGTACTCAAAAATTATTAGAAATGCTTCAATAAAATGCAAGAATTGAGTCATCAAAATTTATTTTGTTCCCCTTTAATTAATTAAAGTAATTCCCTTCCACTGCAATGCACTTATGCCAATGTTTTTTCCAATCCTTGAAACATGCTTTAAAGTAATTTTTGATAAACCCCTTCAGGACTCGCAGTAAATTTTGTTTTATGGCATAAAATGACTCAAACAGTGACCATGAAAAAGAAATTTTAGTCAAGGAAACAAGAAAAGTCACACGATGCTACAACAGGTGAATATGGAGCTTGCAGAACTGTATTTGTTGAATTTTTTGCCAATAATTCATGAACAACAAGAGAATTGTGAACAGGTGCATTATCGCAGTACAAAATCCATGAGTATACTCACTACAAATCGAGTCATTTTCTATGAATTGCTTCAAGCAAACACAAAACACTCAAATATTCTTTGTTGACAATTTAATCAGTCAGAAGAAATTTGCAACGCACAACACCACAATTGAAAACAATCAACATAACCTTGATTTTTTACTGACTTTGATGTGGTCTTTTAGGCCTCACCTTTCAACTGCCATTCACTCAACTGTTGAGATGTTTTAGTGTCAAAAGCGTATATCCATGTTTCATGACCCATAATGATGTTTTAAGAGTGATTTGCCTCAAGAAAGCATTTACTCAGCCGCTTGTACACATTGTTTTCTTTCTTTTTTTTTGAAAAAATTCAACAATTTGAGAAGTGACACACTGCAAGCCCAAATGATACTGGACCATGTTCAATAATGTCCCTAATTGTTAACAACAATCATCGAGCACAAAATCTCTGACTCCAGCGAAATGTTCTTTAGTTGAAGTAGATGGTTTTTTACCTTAAATAAAATCAGAGCTTACCTTTTAAAAAGAAACCATGTTTTTTTTGTTTTTATTTAATCATTTGTAAAGCCATTTTATAAAATTATTTACAGCATTAATTGTGTAATCCTTCAATTCATCATTATTAATACACCAGAAATAGAGGAATATTTCCATATAGTAACTACAATAATTATTGCACGTTATTTTCAATACTGATGTTGTCCGCCATTTTGATATTTTCTTATTTATTACAGATTTATTTTCGTAGATTATACATCTCTGATTAATTTTAAAACAATTTAAACAATTTTAAAAAAATTTAAAAAAAATTAAAACGTTTTAAACAATTTTAAAACGTTTTAATTTTTTTTTAAATTTTATTTATTTAATTAATATTTTAAGATACTTTTAATGAAGTTTCATTACCAGCGCGTTAACTGTGATAATGGGATTGTACGATAATTATAATCTTAAATGGAGGATAATGCAATTAATTTTGTTTTATATGAAATTTTGAGCAATTAATGAAAAAACATAAAATAAACAGATTTATTATTAGGCGATTTCCGGTGCTTGACTATTGACCATTGGGTTTGCTTTCATTCTACCAACGCAAACCAACGCGTTTTCGTGTAGCTAACCAACAGCTGATTAGTTGTCTCTATTTTACGTCAACATTACGTATATTAGTAAAGATTGGATTGATGGGATAAGACCATCATATATATTTAATAAGACCCGGTGTATCTGCATCAATTTTCTGTAAATCAAAGCGAGTCAGTCATTCGCAGGCGAGGCGATTCATTTTTTGAACTGAGACTTAGCGACTGCGACTTTTGTTTTCAGTTTTACGGCCCCCTGTTTCCATTGTATCAAGAACTGTTGTATCAAAATTTAATAACTTTTGAATCACTTATTGGGAGAAAAAATTGGCAATTCCAACAGGATAAATGCTGCCACTCATGCATCAGTCAACTAAAAATTGGTACCAGGCATAACAGCGTGAGTGGCTGCGACTGTGCGACATCTGGTGGTGAAACTTAGAAGTTCCTCGACATGGCTGCGGTCTACAATCCCCGTATCAGATGAGTGTCTGATTAGTTGTTTTTTTGTCGCGAGATGGCAATTGTATATGTTTTATATATTTAAATATTTTTAGTTAAATAGGAAGAATGACAATTGCTCATTCTTTCTATTTCACCAAAATAATAATAAAAAGGAGGTTGACGACTGCATGAAAATTTACATACTAACTTATCATTTAACATATTTGTTTTTTTCCAACTTTTGGTGCTGGAGTTTATTTGCTTAACTGTTGTGTTTTGTAACACTGGCGCCAAAACACTATCAATCATTTTCAAACAAGATCGCCTCCGTGCTTATGAAATTGTGGATTGTCTACTGGAGAGAACGACGGATGGAAAACGGAAGCAAAGTATCTTTATCTTTGTTAAATGTTGCAGCTTTATTTATACAATTAAGTGTAATGACATTAAATAAAACTTTATTAGTTTTGTATAATACAATAAATATTTTGTGATTTTATATATGAAAATAAAAAAGTAGCGTATTTTTAAGATTTGTAACCTGAAGATAATTATCACTAGCCCAAAAAGTAGCGTGTCGCTCAATTTGAAATTTTTGTAGCGAGGACACTTAAAAAGTAGCCCAATCCGCTACTTGTAGCTCAATCTGGCAACTATGGCCACAATATCCCGCGTTTCTTTATGCAGCGAGTGTAGCGAAATGACGTCACGAGCAGTGTTGACCAATTAGAAACCAGTTTCAGTGTGTTCGCTGTAAAGCGCTTCTCGANCTTAAAAAGTAGCCCAATCCGCTACTTGTAGCTCAATCTGGCAACTATGGCCACAATATCCCGCGTTTCTTTATGCAGCGAGTGTAGCGAAATGACGTCACGAGCAGTGTTGACCAATTAGAAACCAGTTTCAGTGTGTTCGCTGTAAAGCGCTTCTCGAGCGCTGCATAAAGAAACGCGGGGATAGCGACTTTTAGAGGGATGGAGCGACGTAGCGGCGAATGCAAACAAATCAGCCAAAAGTAGAGACTTTTGAATTTTTTTTTCATTTTTGAGAAATATAAATTTATTTTTACAGTTTTCAAATTTACAGACATTTTTCTACTTTATAGCACTCTCTGGCAACGACTAATATTATTACGATAGACAAAACTGTAATTCTAGATTTTTCTANGCCAAAAGTAGAGACTTTTGAATTTTTTTTTCATTTTTGAGAAATATAAATTTATTTTTACAGTTTTCAAATTTACAGACATTTTTCTACTTTATAGCACTCTCTGGCAACGACTAATATTATTACGATAGACAAAACTGTAATTCTAGATTTTTCTATAGCGTGCAGAGTTAAAAATCTGCAAAAGTAACATTTTGTAACAAATAAATCTGCCCGGAAAATTTTTCAAATTGCTAAATTGAAAACGTGGTAACTCCCGAATAAAACCTTAGTCCCGAGGTTGCAGTAATTCTATGATATCATTTTCTACTTTATAGTCGTACGCATATGTGGTGTTTACCTCAGTTGCATTGTCTGAACCAGAGAAATGTCTTGCACATTTCCGAATGTTGAAATATTATTGAAAACTTTTTAAACAATTCCCTCAGCTAATGCATCAGGAGAAATGTCGGTTTCTATTTTAAAGCGGATAAAAATTACTTAAGGAGTACTATGGGAGACGAGATTAAACAATATGGCCATTCTGTATATAGAGCAGGAAATTTTTAATCGAATTGATACTGCCAAAATTATTGACGAATTTGCAAAAAATAAAACAAGACGATTTGTTTAGTTAAACTGTTTGTTTTCTTTTTACTACGTATTTGTAAACTGAATATTTTTTACCCTAAAGATATACTTTAGTGGGGACATGTGGTTTAGTTTCTCCCCACTTGTGGAACAATTCAAATATATTATCGGGGAGTTTGCCATTTGTGAAGTTTTGTGATATTTTGTTGCTATTTTGTCAATATTTTTAAATTAACATGATTTCAAATGTTATCTTTTGTATACAATGAGAAATGCTCATTCTTTGCTTTATATATGAAATAAATTATATATTAGTAACTCGCCTTCTAGAAATAAATAAATAATTCTTTCATTAAATACGATAAGTTTCAATAAAACATTTCATAAATCATTTAAAAATATCGTAAAAAATATTAAAATGTACGCGAAAGCGAATATAACATAATTAACGAAATAAAGTAATTTGCATTATAATGATAAATAATATATTATAAAATAAGATTAATATAAAAATGATAAACGAAAAGATGCCAGAAAAAAAAAATGTAAATAACATTTCATTCAACAATACAATAATATTTAATTTATATAAAAAATATACATTATATACAAAACAACAAAGATTTATAAACATAACCAATTGACATTCGATATCACTCTTAAACAGTGGTGATATTCGAAATATTTAACAAAGGGTTCACTAACAGAAAATTTTTCTTTAACAATTTTTTTTTTTTGCTCAAATGGTTCATTAGCAACATTAGCGCAAAAACTGACCTTAAGATACCCATATAAATAAAAAAGATGCGTTCACAAAATTAAGTCAGTTAAAATTTAACATTGTGTATGCCAGAACTATATTTTTTTTTAAATAATAAAAAAAAAATAACACATTTTAATATTTTTCATTCAAAATATTTTATAAACATAAAAATTGGCTTTTTTTTAATCAGAAAAAGTCATAGGGAAAGCAGTTAAACAAGAAAAACTTTTCTAAATGATTTATTTTATCGTTAGGTATTATTATAATAATAGACAGATATCATCGTCTCTCGAAATACAATATCTTTCTTATTTCGCTGTCGATAGCCCGACACGTGTTCCGCAGCCATCTTGTATTTTCTCGCGCGCGTGGGATTGTGGGATCTATCTTATGACTGGATCTAGTTTCGAGAACTCTCTCGAGTCGATCGCAATTGAACCCCGTTTTAGTCGAGATTGAAACGGTCGATGGAGGTTGCACTAGGCAAACAGGGTATAAGGCTCTAGTTTAGTAGTGTTACAGAGTATAATACGTACTGTATATTTTAATATATTTTTTTAAAAGAAACAAAACCACTGAGAAATATTACGTGTGTTTAACAATGGGTTCGGAAAACTTTGAAAATGTTAACAACGGGTTCGGCCGAACCTGTGCGAACCCGCTGAATATCACCACTGCTCTTAAATGAAAATGAACTCAACCGAGCGGGAAGAGAATAGACAAAACGTAAACAATTTGTAAAATGAAACCACTAAAACAACTTTTTGTTCGGCCGACTTCGTGTTTAAGTTAAAGAGGTAACACTTAAATTGTGGCCAGCTTTACATAAAAGTCTTTCTGGGATGCATCCTCCTTGACAGATCGCTCATGTGCCGCGTTGCCGTAACCAAATAAACCAAACTAATTCTAATAATTTTTTTTATAAACGCGATATTTACGAGGATATACTTAACTATCACAAAACTGGTCACCCCGCCCCTCCCCTGATTTCATCTCCCCTTATTAATTCATAAACCCATTTCCCCAAATTTCCTTCGCTGATACTGCTCAAAGATGTTCTAACGTTCAGCCAAATTAATGTACAGTACAGTCCGTGCAACGATTTTAAGGAACAACATAGAGCTTAAAGTCTTTTTCTGTGCGATGTTTATTTCCTGTTTATTATCGTAGCGACATTGCTTTATTCAAAATTTCCTGTAGTTGTAGTGCACTTTATTCACATGTTGCGTCTTACTGTCAAATCTACTTCCAGTGAGATTATGCCACAACTTTCAAAAGTTTCCTTTACGTAGATGATTTTGCTCAGCTTTACTTTTTCAATGTGGTTTCACCAGTTTTTTTATGAGATCACATAAAAGCAATTATTCTCCCTTTTTTTTACAATATTTTTTTATTTAAACAAGTTTTATATGAAGTCTTTCGGACGTTAATTAAGGTTAGCAACTTCGATCACATGCGGAGGCTATCACAACCTATCCAACACGGATCCCTTTTCAAATACAGTACTAATAGTAGACCAGTATTAAGTAGTAGTCGTTGACCATCCTCTCTCCCAGGAGGAGGACAACTACTACTTTTGGTCGAATTAACTTCAACCTCCATCTCTTCTTCCTATCCGACCGACCGGTATGGTAGCATTTAAATAGTAAAATTACATAATAATATAACTACAAAGGTTATCTTACGTAAGAGTTTATCACACCAAGTGACCAATCTAACGCATTTCAAAAATTCTTTAGATTGTGTACAGTAGAGGAAGAAAATTTTAAAAATGTATTAGATTGATCACTCGGTGTGATAAATTCTTACGTAAGTTAACGTTTGTAGTTATATAAATCAAATACTATAATATAAATACGAAATAATGATTGTACTTATTTTTTGCCCGGACAACCTGCTAGTTGTCTTATAAATTAAAATGCAGGATGTACTAAATATAAATTCATAAATATAAATATAAATTCATGTATATAAATTAAACTCTTAATTTGCGCGACTGCTCAGATCACATATTTAAAATTTCCATAGAATTGAAATTTTATATTTAATTGCGATTATTTTTATAACCCCATTATTTATTTTTTTAAATTTTTATAATAGTTTGTAAATTCATAGTAATTTAAAATCACGTATAAAAAAATATTTGATAAGTCAACATTGTATAAAATTGAAGTGTGCAATACCAATAAAATTTTTATTTTTAAAGAAAAATAATTTTTTATTTATATCACTATTATTAATAATATTCTAAAACATTATATACAAATTTTATCTGAAGTAATTTCTCTCTACGATTCTAATATTGTCGAATAAATTGAAGTGCGATTATATATATTATCGAATTTATTTATTTTAATACAGTCTTCGAACAGTTGCAATTTTTGTTCAATTTCAGTTTTATAAGCTACAAATTCTTCAAACCATCGCTTCAATTTGTCATGATTCCCTACAATCCATTGATATTTTGTGTCGATTCCTTTTATGATTTCCATCAGCTGCTCTATTGATTCGATTTCAGATTGAATGTCGAAAACTATGCTTTCTCCTAAGTTTTCAATTGATTCCAACTCATTTAACATGCTTAATCTGTTAGAAATTATAACACCAATCAATATAATAAGCATTATATGTTAATAATAATATATTTGTTAATTAACACATTGATATTGGAAAGATATTGTAAGTGAGTTTGATGTTACTATTTGTTATAAAATAAAAGTGCTTTTAATTTACTGATACTGTATTACATTATCTCAAGAAATGCGTTTAAAAATAAGTAATTCTGAATATATCTATCTATTTTTTTTTTTAAATACTCACAAATTGCTTTCCCATTTGTTGGTACTTTGTTCTTCCGTTTCCTGAAGCTCTTCCATAACGTTCGTAAAATCTAATTTCAGCTGAAAAACATTGATACAATTTAATTTCATTCTTCACTTTTGTAATCTTTAATTGTTTAATATAAAAATTTGAGTAAATGTCTTATCTGATCTATCGTAAATAAGTAAACACTAGAGGTTATCTACCACTAAGGGCATTAGGGATTAGATGAGATCACGATTGAGATTTTTAATATATTTATTTGGAAATTCTGATTTTCGTTTCGATTTTCAGTATGGTTGATTAATGTATTCCATTATACTAATTGATCCTAATAATATCTCATTGCGAGTTCAGCAAGTACTGAATTCATAACGACATATTATTAAAAGTAAACTGTTAATTCTAATTAACAGTCTACTTTTAATGCATTTTAGGAGGCATATAAGGCAATAAAGATTTCAATTGTGTGATAATTCTTCAATAAAATTATGTATTACGTATTTGTAGAAAGTATATTGTATTATATAAAGAAAGGGATTAAAAGCTAATTAATAAATAAAAGTAGACTGTTAATTCTAATTCCACTATATAGGCTACTACATGGCCGTGGCTGTAGACACCAATAGAGCATGCATCTGCATGGAGCCGCACATTTTAGGGTATAAAAACTTGATCTCATTGTTCTCGAGAATATATTCGAATACCTAGATCAAGTTCTCGGAAACAATAAGAAATTTTTAGAGTCGAATAGTTCTCAGTTTTGCATTCGAATACTCATCATTATTTGAAATGTCTTTGGATTCATTTGAATAAAATCTAGTGGCCCAATAAAACTAATTTTACTATAAAGAGAAACGTAATTATATGGCATGTATCTTGTCTAAAAGTTAAAAAAATATTAAAACCTATTCAAATAAGAAAAATATTCGGTAGTTTGAGATTTAGATATAAATAGGATTTAGGCTATTCTATTACTTTAACAATAAACCAAGTTTACCTGTAAGTTGTTATTTTGAAGTTCTTTCTCTGTTGTTTCGGGTTCGTCCTCATTACCAGTTTGTATAGTTTCAAAGATTTGCTTTTGATCCGAAATTTTGGACAGGAAAAAATAAAAACATAAGCAAATAATCTGAAAATTAAAAATTAATTAATATTTTGCTAAAAATATATTTAAAACATTTTGATAAATTGAAAAGAGTCTTACCGATAAACATAAAATTGTTCCAATCCATACAATAATTTTATAATTTTGCGTAACTGGTAACGCAACTTGATGATCCAAAACGTTGTTATACTTTATAGAATTGTTTTGAGAGCTTTCCGTTATGTTCGAAAAGTATAAATTTCTGTTGGCAATCTCGAATGTAAAAACAATACATTTTTCATTCGTTATTTCACATGACATGTTTGGATACTCTACGACATCACTTAAATTTAAATTAATTCTGGTCGTATTTTCGGTTCCCAAACTAAAATTATTATGATGGCAGGCAGTTAAATTCTCAACTTTTAAATTAAATATACTTTCCTCATTTTTTATCTTCGTATGATTTTCCAGGCTAATTATTTGTTTACAGAATTTAGTTGAAACATAGGAAGAAACAATCAGATGCTGCTCCCAGTTAAATAAAAGCATCTCATCTTCTATCCTATCTCGTCTCCATTTTCGCATAAAAGTAGTAGGATAAATGGAATTTGAGACATTTTCTGTACTGGAGAAATGTTTTCGTTTATCCATAAAACAAATACTTTTTTCATTCTTTAATAAAGTTTTGATTATAAAATTTAGATCTACAGAAACATCAACTAAAATCGTTATGTTTGATGTTTTTTCATGTTGTTTATAGATTTCACTTAAGAAATAAATATAAATCTGTTTTGACGTTTCTAAAATAAATTTCAATATATACGAGAGAATTTTGCTTGATCTGGATTTCTGACTTTGTTCTTTAATATTTTCATTATTTATTCCTATTAATTAATAACAACTATTAACATTATAACAGCAAATATTATAAAATGTAAAAATTTATATCAAATAAACTTACCATTATCAAGATCGTGTCTTACGGATATCTTAATATTTAGGCCTATATCAAACCCAAAACTTTTTGTAAATATGAATAACAAGAGCAAAATAAATTTATTTAACATCTTGCTTTTATATTCAAAATAATGATAACAATTTTCCTGAATAACAATACTATTTTATTGTTTATTAACAATTATCTGTTAATAATTTTTTGTAATAACTTTTTTAAGAAATTTGTTAAAAACATTTTAAATAATTTTAAAAGGAACAAAATTACAATTTTATATCTTGGTTCGCATATCTGGTGTTAAAAATTAATACAGAAGAAAATTTTTGAACTGAAAACGAATAATATAATATAATAATTTAATTACCGTATTTTCTGAATTAACAGGATCTAATGAAGGAAATGTTTTAATTTTTTCTCGATTAAACCGTTTCTTAACTGTATTTATAAGTTACAGCTAAGTTTTAAGTAATTGGGCTACAATTTGAAAAAAAATTGTAGACCTATAAATTTCCATTGTTGTTTGTCTGTCTGTCCTTCCATAACCGCCAGAACGGTTTTAAATAGATAAAAGAGGAGACCAGATATAAAACTATTAGCGTCAGGAGGTCCAGATTAACTATTCAGATATTCAATTCAAATAATTTTCCCAGATTAGAGTTACAAATAACTGTTCTTATCAGGAAAGGTATAATGTACACGGGCAAGACAATACTAATTTGAGATGGAAAACATATAATTTAAATTAAATAAATTAAAAAGATGATTAAAAATTACATTGTGAAGATGTCACAATAATTTTTGCCCGCAAATGTTTTCATAGTTATTTTTTCCTTTAAAGTAATCACTAGTAAAATAAAATTAGGTTTGACAAAACTCGTATATTTAAAATGTTTTATCATATATTATATGTTACAAGAAGAAGCTGCGTATACTAAATTTAAATCATTAATTTTATTTCCTAAACAAAGAATTGCATCGCAAAAATGTTTCGAAAAAGAAAATAATTCGCAAAACATTCCAACAGCTGCATGGAACAGCAGGTTTGTCCATGTGAATTTACTATTGTGAATTCCGATCTTTGTAAAAACAATAACATTATTATTAGTTATTTATTTTTGCCAAGAGGGGTTCAAAAAGCTAGAGGTCGTCTGCTAAAAGAGAACGAAAGAGGTTTTTTTTTTCTTTTATTTTTGCTGTTTTCTTTTTTTTGTCTGCTAAGAGTCGCATGTTGAATTTAGTCAATGAACACGATTTCTGCAGGCGTTTCGTAAATATTATAATGCTCGAGTAATTTGTTTATTAAAATTTTTGACATTAACATAAATTTAGACATTAAGTATCACTCTTATTGTATGTACTTAATTAACATGCCACTCAGTTATTTTCTTTAAACAATAATAGATTTTCGTATATCGTATGAACTTTTTGTGTTGAAAATTTTACCGTTTAAATAAAAATACTGTTAAAATTTATCTCAGACATTCAACTTTCGGAGATGATCATCTAAGACATCACCGGCCCGTGCCGCAGCCCATCTATATAAATACATGCCATGTTAAAATTGGCTATGGTGTTATTAACTAGTTACTCCCTTCACTCGAATACTGAGTCTAATATCCGTCGGATGAAAAAAAAAGTTTGATAAAATATGCTCAAAGATGGTTCTATTGATATTATTTTTAAATTAGTGAAGAACTTTATCGATACAATTATCTACATTAAGATCGTGTTTTAGGGATATCTTAATATAATATCCGTAAAACACGATGGTTCAAGGACAACGGTAAGAATAATATACCATATTTTATTGCAAAAAGAAATTCAATGGCAATTGATATTTTATAATTTATTGACTCAAGTACTTTTAAAATTTGAGGACGAAAA